ACTCTATCATAAATTTTAAATTATTTCTGAGTAAAAACTTTGTTTTTAAAATCTAAGTTAGACCTAGACTATTTGCGAAGGCAGCTTCTAATTTTGGCAGGAGCTAAAAGCATGGAGATGAAGAGGAAATTAAATCTTGATACAATAAAGTTACTTTTTTGGGGGAGACACGGTCTCCCTTGCCCAGGCTGGAGTGCAACAGCTTGATAATGGCTCACTGCAACCTCTGCCTCCTGGGCTCAAGGGATCCTCCCACCACAGCCTCTCTAGTAGCTGTAACCACAGTTGTACATCACCACGTCTGGCTAAATTTTGCATTTTTTGTGGAGACGGGGTTTCACCATGTTGCCCAGGCTGGTCTTGAACTCCTGGGCTCAAGTGATCTGTCTAACTCAGCCTCCCAAAGTGCTGAGATTACAGGTGTGAGCTACTGCGCCTAGCCTAAAGTTACTTTTTTTTTTTTTGAGACTGAGTTTCACTCTTGTTGCCCCCGCTGGAGTACAATGGCACAATCTCGGCTCACCAAAACCTCGGCCTCCCAGGTTCAAGTGATTCTCCTGCCTCAGCCTCCCAAGTAGCTGGGATTACAGGCATGCACCACCATGCCTGGCTATTTTTGTATTTTTAGTAGAGACAGGGTTCTCCATGTTGGTCAGGCTCCTCCTGACCTCACGTGATCTGCCCGCCTCGGCCTCCCAAAGTGCTGGGATTACAGGTGTGAGCCACCGCTCCCAGCCCTAAAGTTACTTTTATTTAAATATCTTTATTGGCTGGGTGGTGGTGCGTGCCTGTAATTCTAGCATGTGGGAAGGCCAAGGTGGGAGGATCACTTGAGGCAAGGAGTTCATAACCAGCCTAGACAACATAATGAGACCCTGTCTTTACCAAAAAAATTTTTAATTAGCCAGAAGTGGTGGTGCACACCTACATAAATAAATAAATATATATATATATATAAAATTATTTTTTTTCTTGAGACGGAGTCTCGCTCTATCGCCCAGGCTGGAGTACAGTGGCGCAATCTCGGCTCACTGCAAGCTCCGCCTCCTGGGTTCCCGCCATTCTCCTGGCTCAGCCTCCCGAGTAGCTGGGACTACAGGCGCCCACAACCGCGCCCGGCTAATTTTTTGTATTTTTAGTAGAGACGGGGTTTCACCGTGGTCTCGATCTCCTGACCTTGTGATCCGCCCGCCTCGGCCTCCCAAAGTGCTGGGATTACAGGCGTGAGCCACCGCGCCCGGCCTATAAAATAATTATTGCCCTGGTATTTCTTTCAGTTGTTTTTTTTTTTTTTTTTTTTTTTTTTTT